CCAGCCCTGCCCCCCAGCCCTGCAGCCCCTGCCCCCAGCTCTGCCAGTGCCCCTCACTCCTGCCCCTCCGCCCCTACCAGCCCAGCCATGCCAGACTTCCCTTCCGCTAGGGACAAGGCCGAGTCCCAGGAAACTCGTTTCTCCTGTGACCCCAAGCCCTTGGTACCCAGGTCTCTGCAGAAACACGGCTGGCACCACGGTGACCCTGCCCCGCCCCCAGCTCCACCCGGGGAGGGGCAGTGGGTTTCCCATAGGGGGCGCTGGGCTGCTGCGCCCCTGGGGCGGGGGCCAGGAGGGGCTGGGTGCAGACTGTGCCTGTGGCTTTCCCCAATGCTGGGCGGTGCTGCCCTCTAGTGTCCCAAGGCGGGAGCCCGGCGGGATGGATCTGCTGGGGGATGGATGGATGGTGAGCGCAGGGCCGTGGGGCTGGAGCGGGGCATCTGAGCCATGCCAGGCTAGGTAGCCCCAGGCCCCAGGAGTCCTGATCCGGGGGGCGAGGGGGCTTCCCAGCCCCTGGCCGGGTTCCTTGATGGCGTCTCTCTCCTGGCGGCCCCAGTGTTCGGTGGAGTGTGGAACGGGGATCCAGCGCCGCTCCGTGGTCTGTCTGTCCAGCTACGCCAACGGGCAGGCGGAGGAGACCTGCGCGGGCACCAAGCCGGCCGACATGCGGGCCTGCAACAGCGGGCCCTGCCAGCGCACCGTCAAGTGGTACACGGGGCCCTGGAGCCAGGTGAGGGGGGGCGGGGAATCCCGGCCGGGCTGGGTGGGAGGCGTCCTGCACGCGGGGCTAGGCCTGGAATGCTTAGCAGCCTCCTGGGATTGTTTGTGCTCCGTATGGGGCATGTGTGCGCCCACGCATGTGCCGTGCACAGCAAGCAGTGCTCTGTGTGTGCGCCCACGCGTGTGCCATGCACAGCGAGCAGTGCTCTGTGTGTGCGCCCACGCGTGTGCCGTGCACAGAAAGCAACGCTCTGTGTGTGCGCTCATGCGTGTGCCGTGCACAGCAAGCAGTGCTCTGTGTGTGCGCACACACGTATGCCATGAACAGCAAGCAGTGCTCTGTGTGTGCGCCCACGTGTGTGCCGTGCACAGAAAGCAACACTCTGTGTGTGTGCCCACGCGTGTGCCATGCACAGAAAGCAACGCTCTGTGTGTGCACACGTGTGCCATGAACAGCAAGCAGTGCTCTGTGTGTGTGCCCACACGTGTGCCGTGCACAGAAAGCAATGCTCTGTGTGCACACCCGTGTGGGCGGTGCTGACTGAGCCCCAGCCACGCTGTGATTGGCTGCAGAGCGTGCGTGCGGTACCCCCCCTGCCCCGCCGGTGCGTTTGCTCTAAGCGCCTGTCACTTAAGTAACGCCGGTAGGGAATAAAACTAACCAGATGTCACACGGGCCACACACAAAACCCCGCTGGGCCACGCGTGGCCCTCGGGCCGCAGGGTCCCCACCCCCGTTATACGTGACTACAGGTCGTGAGGCATAAAAGTCAGAAATAGCTCCGAGGAAAGTAAAGAGAAAACGCAGCTGGGGCCTGACTCAACCTCGGTGCAGTTCGGGGCCAGGGTTCCCCACACGTCTAACCCAGGCCCCTTCCCACTTCAGTGGTGCTTCCGTTGTCCCTTCCTTTGGGGCAGAGAGAGCTGGGAGGGAGCCGTGGCAAAGGGGACGGGGTGTCGCCGTTTTACAGCGCCCGGGGCAAACACTGCCAGCTGGGACTCAGGACGTACAGTCCCCTTGACTCAGTTCCATTGCTGCGGACTGAGGCTCCTGGACAGGTGACGCTGTGCTTACCCGTTAACCTTTCCCATCCCTGCTCTCTGGGGGGAGGGGAACCTTTTTCGGGCCGGGGGCCACTGAGCCCCAGAAAAATCAGTCGGGGGCCGCACACAAGTAAGACGCCAGAAGAAAACCCCTCACTGACGTGGCCCCGGCTGAGGAGGAGAGAAACTCTCCCCATATTCCCCTCGCACGCCAGAGCCGAGGGGGGTCCAGGCTGGTAGATTTTGTGCACTCCAGCCCTGTGAGGAGGCAGCGGGGGGGCTGGAGCACAGTGCAGGCTCCCCAGTGCTGGGGGACGAGCCCTGAGCCCCAGGGGTCGGATCCAGGCAAGACAAGGTCCACATCCGGCCCCCGGGCCTGAAGTTCCCCACCCCAGTTAGACAGAGTCCACGTGGAGGGATGGTCCCTGCTGCTTTTCCTCACGTCTTTGGGGTTTCTGTATCTACCCCCTGCTGCTTGAAGACCGTTTCCCCCTCAAACGCCAGCTCAGCAGAGCCCACGCCCCTCTGAGACAGGCCTGGCCGCCGGCCTCTCTCCAGCCCACGCACCACGATCCCCATGCCGTGGAATCGTAGTGCCACACAAAGTGGCCACGTGTGTTCGATCCGGCCTGTGCCGCTCAGCAGCCGACCAGGCAGAGCTGGGTGCCCAGATGGTGGCGGCAGCCTGCAGGGTGGGGACACCGATACATTGGGGATGTGCAGGAAGGGGCACACCAAGATCAGGATGCAAACGGCACATCGGGTGCTTCGCTAGGCGCCGGGGAGCCAGAGACATCAGCCTCCCTGCGATCAGCCTGCCAGGTGCAGCTCGGGCCCACCCGAATGACGGGCAGTCTGGGGAAGCGCTGGATGTGGGTTGTGCCATGTGGGTGGGTAGCTGGCAGCACCGGCACCCAACGGCGGGACGTGATCTGCGTCAGCAAGCTGGGCTCGGAGTTCAACGTGACGGAGGCCTCGGAGTGTGCCCCCCGGGAGAAGCCGCCCTCCCTGCAGCCCTGCACCGGCACTGCCTGTGATGCTCGCTGGTTCTCCACCTCCTGGAGCGCGGTAAGACCCTGCAAACCCCCTGACTAGCCTGGCCAGGCCCCTCCCTGCGCAGACTTGGCTTCCATGGGGCGAACCCAGATCCGCCCACTCCCAACCCGGGCCCCTCCTCGGAGTGTGCCCCCCGGGAGAAGCCGCCCTCCCTGCAGCCCTGCACCGGCACTGCCTGTGATGCTCGCTGGTTCTCCACCTCCTGGAGCGCGGTAAGACCCTGCAAACCCCCTGACTAGCCTGGCCAGGCCCCTCCCTGCGCAGACTTGGCTTCCATGGGGCGAACCCAGATCCGCCCACTCCCAACCCGGGCCCCTGCCAGCTGAGCCTAGGGAGACTCCCCTTCAGCGGGGAGGCATATAGGGGCTATGACATGCGGCTGAACCATTCCGATCCCGTCCACTAGAGGGCAGTGCAGAACATGCCCTGTGGCCATGGCAATCTGATTGTCCATTTTGCCAGGCCTTGCAGGTTTGGCTCAGTGTAACGAGAGTTCAAATGGTTGAGAGGCGACCTCTCCCGCAGGGTAGTGGGGGAAATCGGGGACTCAGCATCACTCCGGGAGTCGGCCAGCGTGGTGTAATAGATCCCAGCGGGCACCAAAACCCTCAGATCCAGGCCAGGTCAGGTTGTTCCCTGCCCCCGCAGGGCCTGTCTTA